ATACACATAGATCTTCGGGTACCTGGGACATTATCACTATCTTAGTTGTGTGACAGATGAAATACACTGAAGACAAGTGCATTTTTCTTTTCATTTCAAGATTTATGTTCTCATTTCTATTTACCTAATAACATAATCCTGTGAGTTTGTGCACATTGTTTTTCTTAATTTCTTTATCTGCAAATAACTTTATCTGCAAAGTTTCTAAGCTTTGGGAATCACATACCTCTTTGAGGGAACATAATAAAAGGAATAATAATTTGTCCCAAATTTTAGAGGGTTCACAAATGCTCAGAAATCTATCCGTGAACTTCCTGGCTGTAATTCTCAGGTAAAAAATTAAATTTAGTATTAGAAGATGCCTAAGTTTCTTCCCAGTGCTGACATTCTATAACCAGAGCTGACAAACATGTGTATCAAAACTAATGTGCTTAAAGCTGAAGTCCAAATCTTTTCTTCTAAAACCTGATTTGTTCATGGCTCACCCCTTCATCTCCTTTAACTCTCTTTCAAATGTCATTTAATGACTAAGGTACATACTAATCACTCTTTTTAAAAATCTCTGCTCATTTCCCACCAATAATTCTCCTTCTTATTACTCTACTCAGACACTGCTCCATTATCTCCCACGTCCACTGTCATCTTCTAACTTCTGTTTTTTAAATTGAGTGCCTATTGCTCCTCACCAGAATGCAAAATCCATTGGGAAAAGTATTTCTCTGTTTGCTTACTTCTGTATCCCAGCACAAAGAACAGTTCCTAGCAACTATTTGGCATTTAATAAATATTTCTGGAATGAATAATTGCTTAGCTATCTTTATGTTGTGAATCTGGTTTTCCTAAAGTGCTGTTGGCTTTTTTTTATTAAGTCATAAACACATAGATCGCATATACATTAATGCATTTATGAGGTGCAATGTGCTGATTTTAAATACAATTTGGAATGCTTACATCAAACTAGTTAATATAACCTTCAGCTCATTTACATAATTATTGTGTTAAGACATTTATATTCTATGCTTAATAGACTTGACATGTACACTTGCAATATGCACCATAGGTGTAGTCCCACCATTGACCCACCCTCCATCAAACCTCCCCACTCCCCTCCTATCTCTCTCCTCTTCCCTCCTTAATCCTGGGCTATAGTTGTGATTTGTCATATTCTACTTAGTAAAGTATCTCAAGAATGGAAGAAAAGTATCCAATGTACTCAGTACTATTATGTTGACTTCAAACCTAGCTCAAAATACTCAAAACAAAATCTGTCCTCAAGTGGACTTTCTCAGCACAGTGCAGTCTCATAATAAAAAGCAAGAGTGGGATTCACTCCAAAGACCACAAGCCCATTGAATGTGAGATAAGAGGCACAGAAACTATCAGGGCTGGTGATGCTGAAGAAACATTCAGAGTGACCTGCATGATGTATTTTCTCTGTAGCAGCCCTATTCCCTGCTCGACTCACTGGGGCAAGAAACTTTCTATGAAATAATTGTGTCTTTTTTGCACTTAAAAATGAGTACCAAGAAATATTTTACACAATGTCTAGAGTAACAAAACCACTGGAGTAAAAAAATAAATAAATAAATAAAATAAAAACTTCATTTTGTCCTCTTGATTTCTTTTTACTGTGTAAATGAATGTCCAGCATAAATATCAGACTGAATGTCAAATTCTAGATGAGGACAAGATATATCACTGAATGGAATCTGGTGTTGTAGGGAGTGCCTGTGTGTCATGTTTGGCATAGCAATGATCCTTGGACAGCCAGCTCAGACTCTGTATTCCCCTTCTAATTGCAGAGGTCACAGAGAGGGTAAACTGTTCTCCCTGATCCCAGGTGCTTACCCCTGGTCGGGAAGGCCAGTTCGTGAAAGTGACACCTTTTTCTCTCTCCTCTGGTGTTTGATGTGCCTTCATTGGACTCAATATATGCATTTTCTTAACAGCCTTTAGACACTTTCCACACAGCAGCCTGAAATAAGAACCTTGATCTCCAGAGACACAATTAGAGTTCACTTGGAATTTGAGAATTATGCATTAATTAGGATACAATGAAATGAACAGTGTGTTATTCAAAGTTTACCTTCTTAATGAGTTGAAATCACAACATAATCATTAAACATATGTTATAATTGAATTTCTCTAAATTGTACCAGTGCAATTTTTCAAGAATGTATCATGTGTCCCTTTTTTTCCTGTGGCATATTCTCCTCCTCTGTCCAGGCCACCCTTCCTTGTCTCCTCCACGGGAAACTACTATTCATCCCAATTGTTTCAGTCTGATGTTTCAAGGCCCTGATTTCCGCTACCTCAGAATTTAATTGTATTTGGAAATGTATCTTGGCTTTGAACAATGTGATTAAGTTAAAAAGCAGGTGTCAAGACGGGCTCCAGGCATCTGGAGCGGTGTCTTTATCAAAAGGAAATTTGGACCAACAGATATCAGGGATGTGAATGCACAGAGTATAGCATGATGTGAGAACACAGCAGGACAGTGGCACCTGCAAGCAGAGAAGAGACACCTCAGAAGAACCCACCCCTTGAGGTGTCAGCACCTTGGACGGGGACTTCCAGTCTCCAGAACTTTGACAGAATAAATTTCTGTTTTTTAAGCCACCCAGACTGTACTCTTATGCTACAGCAACATTTGCAAACTAGTACCCTTAGTTACTAACTTTAAGAAGTTTTTATATCATAACATCTCTAGTTTTACATATAAGAAGACTACTACAACTAGGTAATGCGATGCATCACATTGAAATAGCCTATATTTTTTAATTAATTCATACAAAAAAGAACTGGGGGAAAAGTGCCAACATTCATAAATCCTTCACTGTTATCAGTCCCTGCTTTACTTCATTCGTGTGTAGCAGGTACCAGCACTTCATTCCCTTTGATTATCAAATAATATTTTACTGTATGGATATACATTTTATTTATCCATTTATCAGTTGAAAAAGACCACACACTAAACAGTTCCATTTATATGAAACATTCAGACGGACAAATACCTGTATACAAAGACAGAAAGTAGACTAATGGTAGTAGACTAGGGACGTGTGTGGAGTAATGTTGAGGGAAGTTAAAAGAAATGAGGAATAATTGTTAGTGTGGGGGGGGGTTTCTTTCTAAAGTGGTAAAAATGTTTTAAAATCAATTATGGTAATGGTTGCACGACCCTGTGAATGTACTAAAACTGTTGAATTTTAAATGGGTGAATTATATGTGATCACATGTATCTCCACAAAACTGTTATAAATGTCAACACAAAATAAGGACAAAAATTTGTAATGATGTAGGTAAATTATTATGGGATAAGGCTAAGCAAAAAAAGCTGAAAGAAAAATTCTTTATCTGTGTTACATTCGACTATATGTAAAGTATATGCATAGAAGTAATTCTGAGAGCAAATATTTAAGCTTCTGTTTACTGTTTACAATGAATATTGAACATTTTAACCAAAAATAAAGATTTTAAAACAAAAATCAACAAACAAATAAATTAATTAATCTCTCTGGTTTAATTATCTATTTCTGTGTGTTTTGCTGTCTTTCCCTGTCTGCCAATCTCAGTAGTTTTGCAGTAGTTTTGTCCTTGATTTTTTTCTTGACAGTACTAAGCCAACGTATTTATTTATATCCTAAACCTTGACTGACTTTCTAGATCTTTCAATCTTTACCTCAGTCCTATGTTTCATAACAATTCTAAGTATAAGCAGCATGGTTTTGATTTATGTCAGATACAGTATTTTTTAGGACAGATGTATATTTTTGGTTAAAATATGGGTACATATGATTAGGTTACATTGCTTTCATTTGTTAGGAAAGTCCCAGTTGTATTTGAGTCCTTCCTGCAGGAGGCGCGTCATATACCCTACATTGTACTCGCTAGATTAGAGCTCACTGAGCCCTTGAGTTTGAGTGCTTTTTCTTGTATGGGCCTGTAATTGTTCATCTACTAGATTCAAGTTAGGACTGAGTTGATAGGATGCTTATTTTTCCATTCTTGAGATACTTTACTAAGGAGAAGGTTCTTCAACTGCAACCAGATAAATACAAAAGATGTCAAGTCTCCATCTTTTTTTATGGCTGAATAGTAAATATTGAGTGGTGTCCATATACTACAGTTTATTAATCCATTCCTTGGTTGAAAGGCGCTTGAGTTGTGGCTGTATCTTTGTGATTCTGAGTTAAGCCACTATAAACATTCAAGTGCAAGTGTTCTTATGTTAAAGTGATTTTTTTTTTCTGGGTAGATACCTAGTAATGGGATTATGGGATCCAATGGAAGGTCTACTTTTAGCTCTTTGAGGAGTCTCCCTGATTTTGCAATTGTTAGGGAGACTATTCTTTTATAAAAAGGACACAGTAATTATAAGTGAGGACATTTGTTCTCTACTTCATCTGTTGTCAGGGAAATCTGTGATCTTTGTATTATGGCAATCCAAGAATATAGCAGAGATTTTAGTATGATTTCCTAATTCACTCTCTATCCTACTAAGTGAAGTGCCTTTGTTTTTTTTTTAGATTTTTTCTATTCTGTTATTTTGATTTTAACTTATATTCCTGTTTTCTCACCAGCTCACCAGTGAACTACATAATTTGAAGTAAGCCAGTATTCCATTAAATCTTGACAATAATTTCATAACAGTTCTATTATGCCCACTTGTTCTATTTAAAATATTATAGATATAATCAATCAACTTATAAAATGTTAAATAAAAAATTTTTTAAATGCTTTCTTTCAAAATTCTCATATCACCAATTATTTTATCTCTAACATCAATAGCAGTTTTTCCAAATTCCTGAGACTCATGTATTTTAAAAATACATTCAAATACATTAGTGCCAACTTAAGAAAAATACAAACTGAATGTCTCATTTTATACAATTATTTTTTACATTTATTATTATTTAATTTATTCCTACAAGTACAGGCTGATATCAATAACATGGAAATTATCTTTATTTTTAGAAAATGCTTACCAGTATTTTTATTTAAGAAAACTTAATTCTAGTTAACATTTTCTTCAAGGCATCTTTGACATCTTTATTTCTTAAGCTATAGATCAAAGGGTTCAACATTGGAATCACCACAGTATAGAACACTGACACCACTTTATCCCGTTCTAGGGCATAGCTAGAGCTCGGCCGGGAGTAAATGAAGAGAAGAGTACCATAATACAAGGTGACAGCCGCCAGGTGAGAGCCACACGTGGAGAAGGCCTTGAGGCGGCCCTGCATGGAGCGGATCTTCAAGACGGCTGCAATGATAAAGAGGTAGGAGGCGAGAATAAGTACAGTGGGAGCGATGACATTGGAAGTCACAATAAAATACTGCACAGCCTGATAACTCTCCTTCACATCACACGCCAGCTTTACAAGTGGGGGCAGGTCACAGAAGAAATCATCAATGATGTTGCTGCCACAGAAGCTCAGAGTAAATGTCTCAGTGGTGATGATGGCTGAGTTCACAAAACCACCAATGTACGAAGCTGCCACAAGACTAATACACAACCTCAGGGACATAGCCTGGGAATAAAGCAGAGGGCTGGAGATGGCCATATAGCGGTCATAAGCCATGGCAGCCAACAGGTAGGATTCACTACAGGACAGCCCAGCAGCAAAGAAGAACTGAGCCAAGCAGCGAGCAAAGGAGATGCTTTTGTCCTCAGAGATGCAGGTCATCAGGATTTGGGGGGCATACACAGAAGAATACCAGAGATCCAGAAAGGATAAGTTTCCAATGAAGAAATACATGGGTAGGTGGAGCCGGGAATCAGCACAGATCAGAGAAACCAGTGTGATGTTCCCTAAGAGACTGATGACATAAATGATGAGGAAGATGAAAAAGAGAATTCGCTGTAACTCCAAGTCTGCTGTCAACCCTAAAAGGATGAAGTCCTTCACTTTGGTGAAATTTTTCTCATCCATTGATTTGGGATTTCTCTGTTCCCTTTCTCTGAAAAGATTGATACATATATTATGGCATAAGACATCACTATATATTTTCCTATCATTTGCCATTTTAGATAATTAAAAAATCTAACTGATTCATATTCTTTGCTCATTGTGGTGTGTGTTTATGCTGAATTGGGCATCATTTACTTTTGTATATCTAGGAAATTAGTTCTAAGCTTCTTGGAGAGATTAATTATTAGACACATAAAATATTAACATAATGTATATCACGTTTTAATTTTATATATTCTAAATAAATATGAAGGTGCAAATAATTAGGCTAAATTGTTTGCATTTGTTATGGAAAGTCCAGGTTATAGCTGATCCCTTCACCCAGAAGGTGCCATATTCCCTCACATCATGCCCTTTAGATGAGAGCACACCACCCCTCTCCTTCCTCCTCCTCCTCTCCTCCTACTTGAGATTAATTCACTTTTTCTATTATGTGGGTGTGTAGTTGCTCATCTACTAGTTTCATATTAGTATTGAGGACTATCACCTTTTACTTTTGATCTAATTTTGCCTCCTTTTTGAGAGAGGGTGATTTGTGCATCTTCTAGTTGTTCTCAGGGTGTTTGAGGATGACATGGATTATATAAAAAAGAGACCTTGTTAAAAAAATATATTGAAAAAAAGGAAGCTTGAAAACATGCTCTGATTTCTCTTCAGGTGAATGAATTATTTCACCTCTTTCCAGAGATTGCATGGAAAAGGATAATATTATTCTAACCATATTTTGGAATATAATAGAATATTATATATAATATAATTGAATGTATCCAATACATTCTATTGGAATTACTGAGACCATCAATATTTTATTCAAATTTTATTCACAAAACTCAGAACACTGGTTTGCAAAAAATAAAAAATATGTAAATTGAATAAAAAGAACAGATTTGCCTATGTAGTAGGCATTTGAAAGCACAGTTACCAACACAACCCTCAAATGGACCCCAGGTAAAAGGGAAAATCTTACTCATTGGACAATAATGTTCATGATGTGGGTGGAATTTCCTATAGAATAAATAGTTTGGGAGGGAAGAAAAATACCATCTAAATTGAATGGTTTGTGGGAGTATTGTACAATGAATAATGACAGGTGGCACCTATTGCTCAAAGGAGTAGGGCACCAGTCCCATATACTGGAGGTGGTGGTTTCAAGCCAAGCCCCGGCCAAATACTGCAAAATAAATAAATGAATAATTACCCACAAAGATGTTCAGATTCTAATCCCAGGAAAAAGCGAGCATTACTTTACATGGGGCAAAAGGTCTTTGTGTATGTTTTTTAAGTTAAGAAAGTAGAAATGAGGATATTATCAGGTAATGGGCCCCAAAAGCAATCACAATTACCCTTAGGGGAGGGAGGCAGGGAGAGATTTGACAATGGATGGAAGAGGAGGCAGCATGTGACATGGGAGGAAGGATTGGAGTAACACAACCACAAACCAAGAAATGCAGCCGCCACCAGACTCTCCACCAGAGCTGTGGATGGAGTGTGGCCCTGTCAACATCTTGATTTTGACCTAGAGGTATTGGCTTCAAACTTCTGACCTCCAAGCCTTCCAGAAAATTAGTGTCTATTGTCTTAAGCTGCCAAATTTGTGGTAATTTTTTACAGAGGTTGTAGGCACATTTTGGGGTGCCTCTTTCCCTTAGAGGTGGGTGTGGGGATGGTGCCTCAGAAGGCTCCTGTCGCCACCAACCTCTCTCAAAGAAGGGCAAGATCATAATTGTCAGAGTTCTAGATTGGTTCCAAGATGATAAATTTCTGCAACAAAATCCAAGGTATAAAAAAACCTCTTTATTCTAGAAAACTTAATCTTGGCCTTTGAGCTAGGAGGTGGACTTAAAATTGAGCTAAAACAGTAAAGAATTGTTCTCTTGGAACTGTACCTATATGCTGAGGGATGATTCTTTCATGAGCCTTTTGAGAATCTATACTTTTTAACCTAAACAAATGATAAGGCCATCAAAGTACAAGTTCTTTCTAATAAACCAAGAGGATCTGAATAAGTGACATTTGGAGCATTTTTATATATCAAGATGATTAGGTGTTGAGGTCATTTTTAACAAAAGATACTCCTGGAAGAAGCCTAGGACCAAAAATCAGGAGACCTGGGTTCTCAACTTAATTGGCCACTGCCAATATTAAATAAAATGAGCATCTCCAGAACTCTATTTTCTTACCTGTCCTTTCTTAGTTCAGATGGACTTTATGACATTACAGAGATGAGAAATCATTTGGAAAACTACAAGTTAAAGCTCCATATTGCATTGTCCAAATTCCATGATTTGTTCATCTCATTGATCCACCTGTTTGTTATATATTTTTTACCACCCAAGGGTCTCCAATTACACCTGTTCTGTGATTGCTTAGATGCTCACAAGTTCCACTATAGAAATTGACCTTCTTTAACAGATGGCTTTTATATAACCTGGATAATTGGTTGCTGGACCTCTTTTGAAAATTCTATTTGGAAATGAAAATTACAGAAGACATTTCTTACCTCTCTTGTTTTCCTCAACAATTATTCATTTGTAAAATACACAAAAGTGTGAATGTATACATATATGAATATGTACATCAATGTTTTTTCCTCAAGTAAAAAGGATTGAAGGTGACTTAATAAGAGATATAAGACATACTAGCCATCCTTTATATTCATGCTGTGTAAATTGCATAAATTAAGAAAATGTGAAAAGGAAAGAAAACTGAATATACAATGGAGCAGGGATAGAACCGATTGCACATCAGCAAGTCCTATCCACTGGCCCACATGAACCACAGATTTGACTCAAAAGTTATAGTAATCCATATATACAATTAAAAGTGTCCAAAGAGAAGGAAACAAAGCAAAAGTTCAGATAACATATTATCATTCTTGATACTAAATTTGAAATCATTTCTCTCAAGGCTCCTTATAAAAAGAATAAGTGAAATATAACAGAGTAATATGTTGAATAGGATTCATATGCACAGAGGACGCCAAAATGTGTGAGATGTGCATATTTTAAGCATGGAAAAACTGTATTAAATTTGTAATGCTCAAGTCACATTTGACTTCTGCAATCATAAGAGGTGCTCAGCATGGCTTGTATTCAGCCTTTGTCATCTTTATTGAATATTGCAATTTTAACACAGTTTTTTCTTTCTTAAAATATGTATAACTTTTTTTTGCCACACTCTGGATATGAGGTCTGATAAGTCAATTTGCTAACTCATCTCAGAAGAAGTGCCACATACCTCATTGCTGAATATCACTATGGTCACCTTCGAGGTGCTCCCCTCAGGAAGCTATACATCAACACCGGCACTTAGTCCACTCTTCAGAGCAATTGTGGAACTCTTTTGCTAGAATGGCTGCCCGAGCTGTCATCAGACAATGTCTGACAATGAAGTTCAAGAATTTGCCACTGTGCATTGACATTGGCAGCACTGCACAAATAGCTCAGCAAGGTTCCAATACCTTGGTATATCTGTGTATCACAGCTGTGCTCATGTCAATATGTGGTGATGACTTGCTGAGTGGAGTTCATAAGTGTTGTCGTGTGTTTTCATGTACTATATGACTATAGATCTAATGATCATTCCCCAAAAGAGTTCCAAAATTTCTTTGAAGGGTGGACTAGGTACTGATGTCAGTGTGTAGCTTCTCAAAGGGAGGGCTTTTAAGGAAGACGACCACAGCGATATTTAGCAATGAGGCATGTAGCACTATTTTAGGATGAGTTTGCAAACTTAATTGTCAGATCTTATACATAAACATAAAGAAAGATTGAAAAAGAGAGAGGAAAGAGGAAGCTACATTTATTTGTTAGTCATTCATAAACTTAAAGCTGGCTTCATACATTGTTTGACCCAGGTGTTCGGAATACTTCTCACACAGTTGTCTCTCTCTATCAAACAGCTCCTTCCATCAGGAGGAATTTTTAAGAAGAGGATGCCTCTGGGTCACACCTCAAGCAGCAGATCTCTCATTGATCTCTCTCTCAGTCCTCAGGAAGCTCAGCGGATCTGCTGTCTGTGCCATTCAGTGTGGTCCTTTATCAGGTATTTCTTGAGTTATATAGTAATTACAAATGTATAGTAAGATCCCAAAGATACGGATTTTTTTCACACCTCTTAAGCAGCTTTTATCTCAGGAACTGCCTAATATAGAAAAAGAAACACTTTAAAGTTATAAAATATTAGCCCCTTGTAATTTTTCTACAAATCTACCTATACCAAAAGCTAAAAAGGTATCTATAAGATAACAAGAGAGAAAACCATGGGCCATAGCTACAGGGCATTTACAAGAATGAAAAAACAATTGTGAAGCACACCTCTTACTATATGTCTCACTTAAAAATTTCCAAAGAGATGATATTTAAGGACACTTCAGTTTTCTTCTTCAAATATAACTATAAGAAAGAAAATCCTACTCTATTTCACAAATTAGAATTGTATTTTGGTTTAATGACATTATGTCCTTAGTGTAATTTGTTTACTTTTTCTTCCTTTGATTAACTCAATAAAATACTTACTTTCATGAGGATAAATGGTTACTTTGTTTGAATTTCAACTGAAATTCAGAATCTTCCTCATTACCTCAGAATAAAAAGTACCTTCTACTTACTCCCTAGGAATCCTTTCTCCGGTCACGACAATACTGAGAGGCCATATAATCCTGAGCATCCCTTTGGGATATGCCAACAAGCAAAAGAGAATCTTTGTGTGCTACTCTGGTGCCAAGTGACCAATTATAAGGCTCATTTATCTTTGTAGGGTGAGGTGGGGAGAGATCATTCATCATAAATAAAATAGAATCAGCCTAAGAAACAAACATTTTTGCTATATGAATTTCATTTATGAATTTGAGTTAAAAGGAAACTGGAAGGGATTATTAACCTTCAGGGTAATCTGCAAACAGGAGATGTTCACGATTCACTGCAGTCCATAATGATAGGAACAGTGATAAGGAAAATTCC